CTGTAGTCCCAGCTACTTGGGAGGCTGAGGCAGGACAATCACTTGAACCCAGGAAGCAGAGGTTACAGTGAGCCAAGATCATGCCACTGCACTCCAGCCTAGGCGACAGAGCAAGACTTCATCTCCCCGCACCCTGACCAAAAAAAAAAAAAGAGAGAGAGAGAGAGATGGCAAAAACATAGACCCAGAATCTCCCTTCATCACACCTACAGGCTTTTTTTTTCCCCACACAAGTAGAAAACGACATATGTGCAAGTTATACCCTGAAGCATCCTCCCAAGAAAAGATTAGAAACAATAACCCAAAGATCCCTTCACAGGGATCTTGTGTACCAATTAAGTACACATGGAATGGAATGAAGGACTATGCAGGAATAAAAAAAGAAAAAGGAATATCTTTATGAATTATATGGTGATCACGTTATGTTACATTACAACCACATGTTATACTATGTTAAAACTACAGTGTCAGACCAAGCACAGTGGCTCATGCCTGTAATCCCAGCACTTTGGGAGGTCAAGGCCAGTGGATCACTTGAGGCCGATGGATCATTTTGGGAGGCCAAGGCCAGTGGACCAGCCTGGCCAACATGGTGCAACCCCTGTCTGTATTAAAAATACAAAAATTAGCCAGGTATGGTGATGGGCACCTGTAATCCCAGCTACTTTGGAAGCTGAGGCACGAGAATCACTTAAACCTGGGAGATGGAGGTTACAGTGAGCCAAGATTACACCACTGCACTCTAGCGAGAGAGACAGAGCGAGACTCCGTCTCAAAAAAAAAAAGAAACCATACTGTCCAAATGCACACAGAATATTTTCACTTCTAGGAAATAAAATAAAATCTTATGATAAGGAATCAGGCTGTCACTATGTAATCTAATCTTCGAATCACTAATTGGTAACAACTGGATAATAGGTTTCTCCTAATGTGATATAACATGAAATATACAACATCATTTATGGTGCATTCCAGCTCAAAAATGTTTAAGTTCAGTCTACTGAGCCTTTAGATATAGCTTCCCAGTTACTACTAAAATTCAGCAGAGGCAAAAATAAGTCAAAAGATACTACAAAGACACAACCAAGTGAGTGTTCTTGGATTAGACAAACAGCTATAAAGCGTAATTATGTTACAATCAGTGAAATATAAATATGGACATGTGTGACAGATGGCCATGAATTCTTTCTAGTTCCCTTCTTCAAGATGTAAAGTCTATTTCCCCATCACTTGAATCCAGGTTGGTGCAGTGTTGAGAGTGAGGCTAAGTGAGTTCCAGTGTCTAGCCTCAGGAGGCCCAGCAGCCTCCCCTTTTGCCCTCTTGGCAGTAGTTGCTAGCTGCCCTGATACTAACCATGCTATGAAAAAGCTATCTACTGTACTGGAGGATGAGAGGCCATATGGAGGAGAAAAGAGGTGGCCCGGCCAACAGCTAGCACCAATTACCAGACATGAGAATGAAACCATCTTAGACCTTAGAGCCCAGCCAACTTTCCATCTGAACACCAGGTGGGTGAGCCTAGGCTAACCCATCAGAGAACTGCTCTGATCAGCCAACTCACAGGATCATGAGAAAACAAATCATTGTTTAAGTTATGAAATTTTAGGTGGTTTGTTATACAGCAATAAATAACTTGTAAAACTGGGTTTTAAATAAAAATGTATTAGCTGGGAAAAGTAGGCATCATTAGCTGAAAGATCTGCTTACAAATCATACACAGGACAAACTCATTTTGATAAAACACACACACAGACATACAGACAAAAGACCTAGAAGAATACATACTGATAACAGAGGGGTTTATAATAATGTACACTCTGGGTAGTAAAAATATGTTTTTATTTTCTTATTTTTGCTGTCCTGTATCTTCTGCATGCATATATGCTTTTGCAGTAATAAAACTTTAAAAATACATATATATATTTTGAAAAGGTTTATAGTATTTACTTAGTCATCAGACAAATTGTCAGCAAAGTCCCTGAAGAGCTAGACATGTAAGTTCCCACTAATAGCTCACAAAAAGCTGGATAAAGTGAGTCAATCAATAAACCTTTTGAGACTGTTACAGGCTGAACTGTATCTTCCCAAAACTCATTATGTTGAAGTCCTAGCTTCTGGTACCTCAGAATGTCACAGTAAATGGGAGTTAAAATGAGACCCCTAGGGTGGACCCCAAAGCAATCTGACTGGTATCCTTATAGGAAGAAGAAATTTGGGCACAAAAAGAGATAGCAGGGGCACACATGCATAGGGGACAACATGTGAAGAGGCAATAAGAGGGTGACCATCTGCAAGTCAAGGAGAGAGGCCACAGAAGAAACCAACCCTAGCATCACAATGACCTTGGACTTACAGCCTCCAGTACTGTGAAAAAATAAATTTCTGTAGTTTAGGCCACCCAGTCCTAGCAAACTAATACAGGGACCAAGTGTATAGCACAATATTTGGGAAACTGACCTAGTGTGCATTAGAGCACTGTAAACAAATAATTGAACCATAAAAATGGTTTATATTTCTCTTCTAAATTCCTGGAAAGTTTTCATCTTTAAAAGTCAAATAACTGCTGTAAACAGACACAAAGAATAAATAAATTAATGTGACCAGAAGGTAAAAGAGCATGCTTTCTAAATGCAACGCCTCTCTCATTGTGGAATGTGTATGTGTCTAGTTCACATTCCACTCTTGAGTTAGCATAAGAAATGGGTTTTCTCATTTTGTTTTGGATTTGTTTATTTAGGGCCAATGACAAACAGCAAAAGTAATGGAGGGCCAACAATGAAAAAGCAACATGATTAAGGACTATTGTTTTCTAGCCAAATACAAAACATTTCACTCATATCTACTCCTAAATTTAAAATGTTTTATAAAAATTACAGTATTTAAATAATTTTTTTAAAACATATTGAGTACAGTTAAGAGAACAGAAAAAAAGAAGAGAGGAGGCAGAAAGGGCGGGGGGTGGGGGGGTGCGGGTGCAGGCTAGAACATAATAATGCAGAGTCCAGGAACCTGTTTTCTTAACAGCTTCTGACTCAGACAACCTTAGACACATGATTTAACTTTTATGAGTTTATTGTCAAGGAAGAAACTTGAACAAGATAATCATTTCTCAAACGGTCCTCACGGATTTCCTAAGGCTTTCCTGTAAATTATTCTAGGGTAAAGAACAGAAATAAACTGGTAGGGCTTAGCACCCTTAGGCCAGATACAAGCAGAGCTACTCCTTTCCATTTGTTTTCCATTTGAATATGTGTATGTTCATCTGAGAGAAGGGTACTGCACTAAAAATACTTGAAACTGTTGTATCAGAACGCTCTGTCGCCTCCAACAGTCTTATTGTTCATGTGGGTAGATACTAAAGACATACATAAGAAAAAATCAACAACACAGCAGATACACACAGGGGGCAGAATGAAGGGCCAAATGATATTGACTCACTGTAACAACAGGCAAATGGTAACGTTAATGGGGACTTTAAGAGGACAGAAGAGAGTGTGCTCTACATGAATAAAGATTTAGAATTGTTAACTGATGGCAAGCATTGCAAAATGAGCATGAAGTGAAACGTCATGGCTCAAAAGGTGAATGCAATCTTAGGTATCAATAAAAATATAGTTTCTAAAATAAAAGCATTCAACAAAATGGCCAAATATATATTAAAAACTGGTTTATATTACCAATAATCAAATACTACAAGCAGCAACTTAGGGAAACAGAAGACTGACATTGGAATGAGTCAGACTTGAGCCCCAATCTGCAAGCATACTTCAATCCTATGTAACTTCAGGACTGCAGCTTCCAGAATGCTGACATCATTAATGAGGGGCTCCTGCAGTGACTGACGGTCAGTGATATTACGGAATACACCTAGTGTAACAGCTGGCATATTGTAGGCACTCAAGAAACAGCTAATGCTTGCAGGGCACTATGTGAAATTCTAGCTCATCCAATCCTTACCATAATGCTAGGAGAGAATTATAACACATACATGCAAATTAACACAAGGATGGGACTAAAATGGTAACAGACAAAATCTTCAATGATGGTAGAATACTAGAAGCACTGCCATTTCTCTAGTGGGAACAGAAAATGGTGCAACTTTTCTGCAAAGCAATCTGACAATGTGTTACTGAGGACTTTTCCAAAGATCATGTATCAGGTCCAGCTCTATTCGAGAAAGGAATGGATTCAGAAAGTACCTAGGGTGGAAATCGGAGTGTAAATGGCTGGCTGACTAGTGGTTAACCAAGTTTTTCACCAGGAATGCAAAGCATCTCTAGGAACAGAAGTCTTTTCTTTTCTTTTTTTTTAATTTTTCCCCATTACTGGTTTCCATGAACGTCCCATTGTCAGCCTAAACCTGTTCATTCTGAGAACTCCGAAAGCAGAAATTGGCCCACTTCACCAATCAGTTCCTCACATTTGAATGGAAGCATACTGCCCAGGGAGGTAGACACCTCTAACAATTCAACTGTTTCTTAAGATTAATAAAGGAAGGGCTGGGAGTGGCAGGTCACACCTGTAATCCCAGCACTCTGGGAAGCCAAAGCAGGCAGATCACTTGGGGTAAGGAGTTCCAGACCAGCCTTGCCAACATGGTGAAACTCCATCTGGTGCATGACTAGAGTCCAGCTACTCAGGAGGCTGAGGCAGGAGAATCACTTGAAGCTGGGAGGCAGAGGTTGCAGTGAGCTGAGACTGAGCCACTGCACTCCAGTCTGGGTGACAGAGCTAGACTCTGTCTCAAAAAAAGGCAACAGGGTGGGAGTGGGGGGGGGGTTAAAAAAAGGTGTGGAATAGAAGTATGTAAATTCTTTCATAATGGGAGGCCTCAAATCCAGAACAATGCATGATATTCTAGGAGATGCCGCCACAAAGAATAAGAAGCAAAATAGTTCACTTCTTCTAAGTCCAAAGTATCTTGCCTTTTGAGTACATTATAACTTAAGGCCCAAGGAGAAAAGTTTTCTTAAAAAGTCTGATAACAACTGACACTTACCTAAAATGAGATGAAGTTTGGTTTCTGTCTGGAAAGCGTAATGTAATGTCACCAAAAACGGCGACTGCCTAATGTGCTCCAGGACTTGCCGTTCTGTCCTTGTATGCTCTGTGGTTTTGGCCTTTTGAACTATTGTTGCCTTTTTCAAAACTTTCATGGCATATAGCTTTCCAGTATCATGTCCACTTATTTTACGAACTAGAAATACTTTTCCATAAGCTGAAAACGAAAAGAAAAAATAAGAATTAAAATGCTACACAAGAAAAATGATAATTTAGTGGAAATACATTTCTTTAATGCACAGAAAATACACTCTTTAAATAAAAAGTATCTTTCGTACCAGTTTCAATAGTTCTTTAATAGATTTCTTCAATTTTATACCAAATATATTTCTAAGTCTAACCCTCAATGTTTACATATCTAGCCACTGCTGACAAAATTATGCTTTTACTCTTTTACTGTTATTCTCTCCTCAATATTTTTAGCTGTAGGAAACTGGCTGTTATTATGGTCAACTCACCACAATCCAATTCTGGAACAACCAGGACATTTCAGACATCAGATAAAACTTATATATATATATACATATTTGTTACCGATGTAGACAAACGAAAGCAGTTCTCAATAAGAATTTCATATATATATATATATATATATATATATATATATATATATATAAATCAAATGCCTCAATTATTCCTCTATAGTTATAAAAAAAAAAGCCTAAAGCAACATAAGCTGACATTGTATGAACAAAAGAGATCTTGAGACTTAAAATATAAAAAGATCCTAAATTGCATGCAATACAGACAGAAGCCCTTTTGTATCTCTGGACAGTAATTTACAGCTTACTGGGTCAACCTCGCCACACTTTTCTTAAGAAGGACTCTGTTGGGCATGATCCTATGTGTGGTGCCTCTTCTCCAGGTAGAAGAATTGGGGCCATGTGGGCACTGTGCCTCGTGGACAGAGCAGGTTCTCTGCATTTATTTTCTTAGAAAAGTGGGCTAGGGCAGGAAGAAGTGGAAGGAAGAGGAAGGAAGAAGGAAAGGCAAAAAAATCCAAAAACATTTTGGGAATGAAAAGGTGAGTCCCTCACTTCATTCCTATAAGGTATCAAATCTCTATAGCTAATCTCTTTAAAAAGACAAATGCTTTCTGGGATGTTTAAGTCCAGTCTGCCTGTTAAATGTCTTAATCAGACCATTATTGAGTCAGTTGGGTTTTGGCCCAGATCAATGTTCACACTCTGCGGTATTTACCACCTAATTCTATTGTAATCCACCCACTAGAAGGGAGCTTTAAGGGAAGGGCTCTTGTACTCTGTATGTTATTTAGTTCAGTACTTCGACTGGATTAGTACCAACACATGATGTGCAAGGGATCGGTGAAAGACTAATAATCCTTAGAAGGAGTGCCAACACTTATTAAGGACTTGCCTATGCCAGGCTCTGCACTAAACATATTGATTCACTTAATCCTCACAACAGCCACTTTACCCATGAGGAAATGTGTTCAGAATAGTTACAGAACTGGCCCTAAGACTGGGGCAAGAAGCAGCAGAACTGATTCAAATGCAGAGTGTGACTTCAGGGACCACACTCTGAACCATAATGAACGAAAAAGTGATACCTCACAAATGCTAGTAATCAGACATCCTGGATCTTAATACAACCAGTACTGACTGTAAACATACTGAACACATTCCAGGGCACAGAAAAAGTTCACAAAGGCTTGTGTATTATCTCATAGTAAATACAGTAATTATAGGTTGAGACCTCAGTAAGGCAGAAATGAACCAAAAGGATGAAATGACAACTTTCAGAACCTAACAAATTAGAATATAAAAATGAAAAAATATATTTATCTGTTCAGAAGCAACAAAATGAAGCTAGAAAATACTATGCACTAAGTCTTCCAACAAGGTAAGCCACTATATAAACTCAGGACAAAGTAAAGTCTACAAGCAGCCCTGAAACTTCTGTGTTCCTTACATACACATGGCACTTGCCCTAAATTCTTGTTCTCCCAGATGCCTATCTCCAGAGCACTATGATGTTTAGAAATCAGGGAATCCACCTATGCTTTCAAAACAGGAATTTTTTCCACAACATTACCGAAACATGGCTGTTCAGCTTCTTCCTAGTACGTCTGCCTCAACATAGGTGTGGACCACATATGCGACAGACAGACTGCTGGGTATTCATACCTAACATCTGAGTACTCAGCATTTATGATATGTAACAACTCATTCAATTCTTATAACATTCCTATAAGGAAGTGAGAACTATTATCCCCATTTTATGGATGAAGAAATTGAAGTATAGAAGAGTTGGGTCACCTGCCCAACATCACACTTGCCATTTAGTCTAACTCCTGGGCCCACAGTCTTACCTGTGGTCCAGCTGCTTCACTTAAGTGAATGACCTCATAGGCAAATAAATAGGGTACCAGACATTAAATAGAAGTCACCATACAGGTTAGGTGTTTTCACAGTGGAAAGGACCCAGTGCTCCTACTTCCAAGAGGAGGAAGTTTTGCAAAGCAGCTCATTTTATTGATGGGAGGCTCTAAATGTTAGAAAATCTTCCTTATATTGACTGGAAGCAGGTCTTTTTATAATTTTCACCTGTACTTCTATATCCTCTGAACTTAAAAAAGAGTATCACTCTTCTATAAGATAATCTTTTAAATATTTAAAAACACTATATGCCATCTCCTTACTCTTACTTCCTTAAACCAACCTTAAAGTAAGATGACTCTGAGACCTCTCACCACTAGGAGGTTCCCTTGATATGTTCTGTGGGGTTTAAGTATTTCTTTGTTATTTAAAAAATTTTGTATTTCACTCCAAATATGCATGAGGTAGTGCATAGGATGTTAATATACACCATCAAATAATGTAAAATCATCCTGATTGCCATGTTACGCTCTATATGGTCAAATAATACACAATCATCCTCCTTGCCATGTGATTAACATCCAGAAGTTTCCCAATAATGAATTAAAGACTACATACTCTGCCAATGCAATTGTGTTCAACTATCAGACAATGTCAGAGAAAAACTATAATGAAGCTCATAAATCTTTTGTTTTTACTTTTATAGTTTGCCATGATTAACATTTAAGCTACATCACATGGATGCTTATTATCAACAACATTCAAGGAATGCCTTACAACATTCCAAACAGTAAGTATTTCAGACAACAATCGTACTTCTAAGAAGGCTGTATAACTAAAACACAGTTGCTTCCAAACAGTTTCTGAAGCACCCATAAGGCTGTTTATCACATTGCCGAAGGGGAAGAAAACACATTCCCTACTAGAGAAATCTTGAAGAAGCCACCTTACCTGGTTAAGCTGGTTTATGGCTCGGAGCAGAGAAAGAAAGTGAAGTAGTCCTTCTGTTGAAAATGCTATATATTCCAGAACCACCTTTATGTTCTCCAACATTTCAAGAGTAGCCATTGAAGCTGGAATTGATGGCAGTATTCTTTTCCTTAAATTTGCAACTAGATGAATGACTGCCTGCAAGTACAGCCTCCTTTCATTCACTATGTGTGCCCTGACATTATTAGAGTAATCCTATTTTTAAAGTATCTTTAAGAAACTGCAAAGATGACCAATAGTGAAAATTCCTTTGGTCAAAAAAAGATAAACAAAACAGAGGGTGGGTTCAATGGCTCATGCCTATAATGCCAATACTGTAGGGGGCTAAGTAGAAGGATCACTTCAGGCTAGAAGTTCAAGACAGCAGTAAGCCATGACTGCACCACTGCACTACAGCCTGTGTGACAGAACATGATCCTGTCTCCAAAGGAAGAAAAAAAATAAAAGATAAACAGTACTTCCTGCTTGGATGGAGCTAAAACTACCTTCATGCTTTAGTACGTATGATTCTCTAATTTCTACATCAACATGCAATAGCACCAAATGCTGAACCAGCAATCCTCATGTTTCTACCACTGTTAATATGATCAACTACATCAGAGCCAAAGTCTTTTCAAGATACTCTGCTAAGAAATATGAGCAAGGTATGGGCACAGTGGCTCATGTCAATAATGCCACAATTTTGAGAAGCAGAGGCAGGCAAATCGCTTGAGCCCAGGAGTTGAGATGAACCTGGGCAACACAGGAAGACCCCATCTCTACAAAGAATACAAAAATTATGTGGGTATGGTGGTGCATGCCTGTGGTCCCAGCTACTTGGGAGGCTGAAGTGGGAGAATCACTTGAACCCAGAGGTAGAAGTTGGAGAGAGCTGAGATCATGTCACTGCACTCCAGCCTGGCCAACAGAGCAAGACCCTGTCTCAGAAAAAGGGGAAGAGGAAGCGGGAGGGGGAGGGGGAAGAGGGGGAGGGGGAGGGAGAAGAGGGAGAGGGGAGGGGGAGAGGGAGGGGGGAGGGGGAGAGGGAGACGGAGAAGGGGGCGGTAAGAGAGAGAGAAGGGGGCAGTGAGAGAGATATAGAAATCTATCTCCAAAGCTGGAGATAGATTTCTATAGATTGGAGGAACACTGAAGATATCTTACGAAGTTTACTTCTGTTTAAACTGAAATGTAGATTTATAATTCTATTCTAACAACTGTAGACAACAAAACATTGACCATCTTTGTTGATAATGATTTCAATGGCTCAATGTAAACTGAACCAAAGGAAGTGTCAGAAAAATTTCTGGTTCCTTGGAGTAGGTTTCTTTCCAGCTTGCTTTTCCAAATGTGAGGCTCTTATTCCATTAGCCACAATTAACATTGTGAACCAGGTTTTAAGCACTTGTTGCTATAATAAAGAAAAGTTAAAAATGACTGACAGTTTGTTTTTGTTTTTGAGACAGAGTCTTGCTCTGTTGCCCAGGCTGGAGTGCAGTGGTGTAATCTCAGCTCACTCCAACTTCCACCTCCTGGGTTCAGGAGATTCTTCGGTCTCAGCCTCCCAAGTAGCTGGGACTACAGGCACACACCACCACGACCGGCTAAGTTTTGTATTTTTAGTAGAGACGGGGTTTCACTATATTGACAAGGGCGATCTCGAACTCCTGACTTCGTGATCCACCTGCCTCGGCTTCCCAAAGTGGTGGGATTACAGGCATGAGTCACTGTGCCTGGTCCAAAAATGACTGACAGTTTTAAAACAAGAAGACATTCATCCTGCCATGTCAGAAACCACTGCACAATTCCAACTTACTAAGCCAAGCAAATGCAATCTTCTTGCTGAAAT